TTCTAATTTAGATGTGATCGTTTGAATCCCCTCCACCTCATTTTCCCAAAAATGTTTTAGTATTTACAATATATAGCATTTGTTCAGTTAAAAAAACTGAAGAATTGGTACTGAAGAGTTGATTTAGCTGAGTGGTAAGCATGCTACTTTGTTAGTGGGAGATTGCAGCTTCGAATCCTGCTTCCTCGTACATTTGTGGATTATGAATTTTTTATATAATAAAAATCATTTGCCCACGTGGTTGGCACGTCAGCAGGTACCGTCGACTCAGCACACACGTGGTGTGCCACGTATGCGGGTGACCGGTTCAACCAGTTAAAAGGGTATAAAAGAAAAAAAATTGCAAGTTTACGGTATAAACGAATTTAAATTCTGACAAAGGGTAAAACCGTGAATTCCTGACAAATTTAAGGGTTTTTATGTCATTATCCATGAACATTGAGTCCATATCTCAAACCTAAAAGTTTGACGAACATATTTTTTTTTTTTTTTTTTAATTCAAACTTTTTTCTAAAATCCAAAAAACTAAAAGCAAAAGGTACTAATGTGTTTATTTTAGAAGGGGATAATGACTTAAAAGGGTAATGTATTTTTCGATTTGTACACATTTAGTCACTGATTTTTTTCGTCCACATTTACCCCTTTAACTAATGTCTTTAGTCAAAAAACGATGAAAGCTATCCTTGCCATTGAAAAGAGTACCATGGCCTAAATAAAGTCATCCAAGCCTTTACGCCGTTGATTTGATGCCATCTTCCGTCATCTCCTTGATCGACTATCCCTAAAAAGAACAAATGCGTACACATTCAGTTCTTATGACCGACTACTCCAGGTTAGCCGGTAAAAATAACTTAATAGGGTAATATATTTTTCACTTTGTACATATTTAGTCCTTAATATATCTTACGTGGGAAATTCATTAATGAAGTGTTTGGGCCTTTTGATGTTTATGTCTATCGTGATCTCAACTACTTGGTTACTTAGATCATGTGTTCTGAACGTCATAACTTCTTCATACGATCTCGGATTTTAACGATTTTTATATATATGTAAACGATCTTTATATCCATGCGAATAATCTTTATATCCACATGATCTCGTATTTTTGATTTTTTTCATTTATAGCTATTTTTCATATACCAACAACACCTATTTCATCTCGGTAACACCAACTATGTATTCCTGCGTCTGCCCATGTCCATATTTTTTTTTATGAATACATGTATGGATGTTTTTTTTTTTATTTTTTATAAAATTGTAAGTAAAAATATATTACATTTTAACGAGAGTAATCTTAATGAAAAAATGAACACGTAAATATAAAGATCGTTAAAATCTGATATCGTATGAAGAAGTTACGACATTCAGAATAAAATACCTGAGCCAAACCGCAAGACCTAGACAACCAAGCAGTCGACGAGATCATGTTGGACATAAACATCAACAACCCCAAACAACTAATCAATAATTGTCTCACATAAGATGTCATGAGAAAACCTAAAGAAATCATTTATAAGTACTGAATAAGTACAAAAAAATGATTTATTTGAAACAAAAAAAATATTAAGGACTAAATATATACAAAAATATTAAGGATTAAATGTGTACACAATAAAAAATATATTATCTTATTAAATCATTTTTCCCTGATGATTTGAAGTAACCGATCATAAGGACTGAATGTGTACAGTTTAACAAGTTAAATGGATAAATATGAACGAAAAAAATTGAATGACTAAATGTATAAATTTTTTTATTTTAGAAGTATCTCTTCTATAGAAAAAGATTTCTTGGACGTGTTGCTCTCGTACCCATTCCCGTAGCATTTCAACGTTACCCTGCTAACCATTGATCTTGCTTTCCAAAGGATGGTCTCTCTCCGTCGATTCATCATACATCCATGAACTTTTACCGAGTCCGGTGGCTTTTCTAACGCAAGCCGCCTCCTTCCCCCAAGAAAAGACATGAAGAAATCATCCAATCTCCGAACATTCAATCAACGCCACCGCTGCAACTGCAACAGAAGAACATTAATATCCAATCGTAGCACTACTAATCACTAGTTCACATTAATATCCAATCGTAGAACTACTTATCGGTAGTAGTTCCAGTGAATGGGGAGATGGAGAACCTCCCTTCTTGTCTCAAGATTCGCCACCAATTCATTTTCTCGAAAAACCCATGTTTTTCGACCTAATTTTGTTTTCCGCCGTCTTGTTAGACCTCTAAATCCCGATCCCGATCCCTCCCTTAGTTCGTTAATTCCCTCGAATAGTTATGGTAGCTTTAGGGCCTTCTCTTCTTATCCGACTGCGGCACGCCCCATTTTTGATCTTGGTAGTTATGACGACGAACAGAAATATTCAGAAGAATTATTCTTGCACGATGAAGATGACGATGAGCTCAGAAAAATCTCCGTCAGAGCTATCTTTCTCTGCACCAGGTTCCTATTCCTTCATCATGTCTATGATGCAGTTGTTGTTTTAAGGCTATTGATTACCAATTTACCATGCCCGTGTAGTGTTTGTTGAAATGCCAATGAATCCTAACGCAAACAGGCGATCATTTGAAAACTTGTATGCCATGCTTTTGGGATCCTAATCCCTATTCTCATATCTGCTTTTTGTTGTTTTCTTCTTTATGCTTTGGTTTCTCAGAGTCAGATATATGGTTTTGGCAGTGTTGATTTGAAGAGCCTGCAAGTTGAGATATCAAGCCATTTTGTTCCTCCTACTTCACGCTCAACAAACCATATCGCTCTCAGATTTTCCAATTTCAGTTCAGATCATATGGTTTGGATTTCCTCACACTTTTTCATTCTAGAACTATCTCTTACAAAAGTTTAATTCAGAAAAGGTTTTTACTTCAGGACATTGATGTTGAAGAAAACCCTAGCTCCCATAGTTATATGGTCGTATTCCAATACGGATCTGCTGTGTTGTTTAATGTTGAAGATCATGAGATTGAGTCTTACCTTGACATTATTAGAAGACATGCTTCTGGATTGCTTCAAGAAACAAGAAAAGATGGTTAGTTAACTAATACCAAAAATCACATTTGTCATGATAGTTTCCTTAAAGCAGCATTTGTGGTTGTGTAAACAAACAGATTATGTGGTGAAGGAGAAGCCATTGTTGATGGAGGATATGCAGGGAGGTCCTGATTACATTGTTCTGAGAAACTTTGATATTGACAGTATACGTACTATTAGTAGTGTTCTTGGCCAAAGTATTGCATTGGATTACTTTGTTTCACAGGTGTCAAATCTAACAATCACCTTTTTCTATTTAGATGTGAATATGAAATTATGCACTTTATCTTACAATTTGACATGTTTCGTTTTTAAAAAGGTTGATGGCATGATTGAAGAATTTACATATATCAATAGGGTAATGGAGAAAACAGGCACATTTACCATGGATAGGAAGAAGCTTTTCCAACTTGTTGGAAAGGCTAATTCAAATCTTGCTGATGTAATTCTTAGAGTAGGAATTTTCGACAGGTGAATTGCAATTTTCAAAAGGCTATGAAGTTAAAAAATGGGAAGTGATGTAAAATGAATGGATTTGTTGTTATTTTTCAGATCAGAGATTGCTTGGAGAGAGGCAAAGTATGCTCAAATATACGAGTACCTTCGTGAGGAATATGAAGTAACACAACGGTTTGGAAATCTTGATTATAAATTGAAGTTTGTTGAGGTAACTTTTCACACCAGAATTTGTTTTATGAAATCTTGAATATGAATATGAATCTTATTTTTTATTGTTTTTGTTTGTTTTGCAGCATAATATTCATTTTCTACAAGAAGCACTGCAAAACCGCAAGTCGGATCTTTTGGAATGGTGCATCATTGTGTTGTTGAGCATAGAGAACTTTATAGGAATATATGAAATCATCCGGGAAACAAACTTAGTCCCAATATGATGGAGTTATATATATTGATAAAGATTTATTTATTTTACATGTATTGTTTTTGTTGTTAGAACATAGTAGTGAAATAGGAAAGTATTGATTTCAAACCCAAAGAATGTCTATATTTTGCTCATTTAGAATTGCAAATGTGATAATTCATGACAACATACTTGCATTATTTACCCATGATAATGATAACAATATATTTAAATATGTAAAATGAAACTTGTAAGAAGCAACACAAATCCAAACAGAACGATAAATGTAGAAAATTTAAGGTCAATTTGATCCGGTTTTCAAAATTCTTGACATCGAATGGCAACACTAGGAATTTCATAAGCATCTTTAGGCTTAGATCTTTTAACTCCTGCAGTAAACCAGACCTTATCTGATCGATAACCTTCAACTGCAATATTTGTGATTTTGACCCATACCAACACCTTCGTTTTCATTCCTTCAATGTTACTCAACTTTCCCCTCAACAAAATGGCTTTCACTCGAGTGGCGTACCTTATGACTGATGAGTCCTTGAAGCTTACCTCACAAGCTGAGGGCAAATGCACCACCAGTTTTCCCTTTGTTTCATCAAATTCATAAGATACTATGTTGTCAGGGAAAAGAGCCGGTGGTAAGTTGAACTCACGGAGGAGCTCCGGCAAGGACTTCTCCGGTTTTCCTGTGATTTAACATGAATAATCTCGTCAATGGTGTTAATCGCGAATAATACTGATAATCTGAATCTGGATTTTGATTTTGACTTTGTACCTTTGAGCTTGTTAAAAATCCATTTTGCCTTCTCTTCAACAGTACTTGATAAAGTCTGCGAGATTTAAACATTGTAAGTTCTAGGTTAACAACAAAACCACCAGATAATCGAGCTACATTTTAACGATAATCGATAATCAGACATAAAATTAAGAGAAAACAGGGGAAATCAAACATACAGTTAGGTCATCGGAGATGTTGGACAACTCCTGTTTAGCTTTCTTTGAAATCCAATAGCTTCCTGCTTTAGCTTTGATGCTTCCGACTTTCACCAATGCTTTCTCCATTTTCCCCCTATGCTCTTGCACACCTTCGCACAATCACTATACGTAAAATTGTGTGTAATTTCTGTTAAGAAGATGGGTTTCTGCGCCCTGAAAGTGGGAAACGCTGTTTAGTAGAAAGGGTAAATGAGGGAAAGTGTGAAGACAAACATACCGATTTGATGCGAGTGACATGCAGCTGTACTTCAAATGAGTGGGGAGAATTTGAGCTCACAGTTTTCGAGAGTGTAATTTAACAAAAAGAGTGAGGTTGTTTCGGTAATTTTGGCTTGGAACCGCCGATTTGTTCTGTAGGTTTGTTTGGATTCAGATCAATGGTGTTTCTTCATTTAAAAGTTTGTTTATTTATTTATTTATTTTCATAAAGCGATTGCAGGGCAACTAAGGGAATAGTACAGGGACCATAAGTGTAAAATCTTTTTTTTTTTTTTTTTTTTTTTTAAACAATATGCGAAGCAAACCCATACGCAGCTTCTCGTATGGAAGCAAGAGAATGAGGAAAATAGCCCCTTAAGGCCTTGATATGGCCCAGACGCCTTACAAACCGACGGCAGCCTTGATGTGTTTTCTAGGCATTTTCTTCCTGCCTAGAACAATGCAAGACGTTGCTCCTATGGTTTCTATGAGTGAATAGAACTCAAGAATAACATCCCCACAATAGCGGTAATGCTGTCCCAGCAGATGCTCATGCTATACACAAAACCTTAAAAAAACATAAAATAGATCTATGCCTTATGAGTGTATGTAATCTTGATGCATTAAAACAGATTTTATACGTACATGAAAGTTTAAAAACACGAAGCTTAGGGTTAGGAATGATTTGAATACAACTAAAGGCTTGAAATTAGAGTATGTTAATGTTAGTAACATCCATGGGATCCATGTTGGAACTTTATATATATAAAGGATTTGCAAGTTGGCAATTTCCTTTGTATCCCACATTGGTGGGGAGAAGAAACTTTTGGGGGTTTATAAGCCTATTCCCTTGGTAAGCCTTCAAAGGCTTTAGTGGATCAAAGGAATGGGCCAAGCCCACGCGTGCGCCTAGCCTAGCCTAGCACTAGCCGACGCCCCGAGTGCGCGAAATGGCGCGATTTAGGCGCACTTTGCACTTCGTCCTAGAAAGAGCTAGGATTAGTAGTTTGAGTTGGTTAGGCGGGATGGGATCGAAGAGACTGTACCGAGAACCGGCTAACTGCCATGAAAGCAGCGGGTTCGATTCCCGCTATCCGCCCAAAATGAAGTCTGCCTCGACTTTAATTTAAACTCGATGTTTGTTAACTAAGCGGGACACCCCCAAACTCTTTCTTATCAAAGCCCTTCCCCTTGTACAGCGAGCTGAGGAGCTTTTGTTTTTGGTGAGTTCGGGTCAAGCCGATTTGACTAGCCATTCAGAACACACACGAATTCTCAAAGCTCTCTCCCTCTCTCTGCGGTTTTTTCTTCTAGTTTCCGAGTAGTCGCTTTGTGTTTGTCGATTTCCAGTGCTGTTGGAATATCGATCTAGCTGCATTAAATCCTGGGGTTTTACTCTGTTGTTTACAGCCAATACAAGCGAAGTAAAAACCTTTTAAGGACAGGAATCTGATCCGTGCAGTTGCTTCAAGATCAAGTCAGCTATCAACAGGTCGGTTTTATTTTTCTGTCTTGTGTTTCATTCGTCCAATAACAGGACAGTCTTCTTCTACCTTTCTTATAATCGGATCTAATCGAGAAGGATAGATCTGGTTTTGGACGAAACTCGGTAATATAATAATAATAATTGAATTTATTATTCGCAACTAATCGACATATAATTCACAATATTATTTGTCGGTTTCCTTGCGTGTCTTTTGATTTACAACAATCTTAAAGGTTTTTTATATATTGTGATCAATCAACAGACTAATGGACTCTACTGCTAGCCTCCACTTCATGAACCAAGAGTTTGCCAAACTTGACCAATTCGATGGTCAGAACTACACTCGTTGGGCCGAAAAGGTCAAGTTCATGTTTCATGTCTTGAAGCTCTCCTTTTTGTTGGACCCAAAACTGGCACCAATTCCTGATGATCCCATTCCAAAGGAAGGGCAATCTGTGGACCCAACGGTCATTGCAGAACTGGAAAAACAAAGGATTCTGCGTAGAGAATCCGAGGAATTGTGTGTGGGTCACATCAAGAATTCCCTATCTGATCGGCTCTATGATCTTTACTCGCCGGTCAAAGATCCTGAAGAGCTTTGGAGTGCGTTGGAACTCAAGTATAAGGCACATGAAGAAGGTACTAATAAGTACCTTGAGTTTCAAATGGTTGATGACAAACCAATTATGGAGCAAGTGCATGAACTCCAAGTCATGGTCAACAAGTTGAACGCACTCACCATCTCTCTTCCAGAACTCTTTCAGGTTGGTGCGATAATCGCAAAACTGCCACCCTCGTGGAAAGATTTCTCTAAGAGAATGATGCACAAATCTGAGGACTACTCCTTGGATGATCTGATGAAACACCTCCGCATTGAGGAGGAAACTCGCATCAGGGACAAGCGAGGTAAAGTTGGACAAAGTGTGCATCATGTGTCAGGTGGGAATTCTAGCCACAAAGGCAAATCTGGGGGACAGAACAAGAAGAACTTTGGGCCCAAGAAACAAAGCTTCAAGAAACCGGGTCATCAAAATCCTAACTCAAAGCCAAAAAGGGCCGGTCCTTGCCACGTCTGCGGAGAGATTGGGCACTATGCGAGAGAATGCAAAGATCGCAAATCCATACCGGTTGCACATGCAGTCGAGAAAGTTACTGAAATGGTGGCTAGTGTGAACCTTGGAGAGATTTTCATGATCTCCTCTCTTACTCGAGCAATCTGTGCTCGAGGTTGGTTCGTAGACACTGGAGCCACTGTGCATGTTTGTGGGCAACGAGAGAGCTTTCGCACCTACCAACCCATGCCTCATGGGACGGTTGTCGTCTGTGCTGATGGCCATAGAGCTGAAGTTCTAGGAAGGGGTGATGTTCGTTTGAAGTTCACACGTGGTGAATGGGTGACTCTTCGAGATGTTCTTCATGTTCCTACCATCTCGAAGGGTTTGGTTTCTGCGGACAAGTTTGACAAGGCTGGGTTCAAGATGGTGCTTGCGAGAGGCAAAATTGTGATCACTAAAGGCAGAAGACATGTTGGGAGGGCGAACAATACTTCGGGAATGTATCGCTTGTGTCTTAGTGATGAGGGTAATGTGAGTGGTCCTAGTGTTGAGTGTGGTGTTTCTAGTGTTGCTAGGTGTCGAGTGTTGGTAATGATGTAATTGATGGATTGGTTGCTAATGTGAATGAAGTGAACTTTTCTGGTTATATTGTTTGTTCAATTTCTTTATGGCATAAACGTTTAGCTCACACTAATGTTAAAAACATTGAAAAAATGCAAACTAAAGGTATGTTAAAATATGACTCAAAAGATTTTGAAAAATGTGAAACATGTGTAAAATCAAAGTTCACAAAGAAACCATTTCCATCAGTTAAGAGAAACACATCTTTACTTGAGTTGATTCATTCTGATATATGTGAGTTAAATGGAATCCTTACTCGAGGAGGAAAAAGGTATTTCATCACATTCTGTGATGACTTCAGTAGATATCTACATGTTTATTTGCTGAGATCAAAAGATGAAGCTTTTGATGCATTTAAACGATATAAGGCTGAGGTCGAAAATCAACTTGAAAGACACATCAAAATTCTTCGCTCGGACAGAGGCGGAGAATATTTCAACCAAGAGTTTGACACATTCTGCGAAGAGAATGGAATCAAACATGAGAGAACATCACCATACACCCCTCAACAGAATGGTTTGGCTGAAAGAAAGAACCGAACTCTTTGTGAGATGGTCAACTGTATGTTGAACCAATCAGGTCAACCAAACAATCTGTGGGGGGAAGCACTATTGACTGCTTGTTATGTTCATAACAGGATCACTAGTCGTGTGATTCCTACAAGCCCTTATGAGTTGTGGAAAGGTAGAAAGCCTAACCTAGACTATTTGAAAGTGTGGGGGTGTGTTGCTTATTATCGGACTCCCGATCCTAAGCGAACCAAATTGGGAGCACGAGCTAATAAGAGTATATTTATTGGATATGCTCAAAATAGCAAGGCTTACCGATTACTAGATATTGATTCTGGTGTTGTTGTGGAATCCAGAGATGTGGAATTCTTTGAGGACAAGTTTTCTAAGGATGAAGAAAACTCTAGTCATACAACACTTACAAGTACCTCTCAAGAAATACTCCCACCTCCTCCCAGTGTGGAGGAACCAAGGAGAAGTACTAGGGCTAGAATTGAGAAAACCTTTGGAGATGATTTCTATTCTTATTGGTCGAAGGAACACAAACGAAAGTGACGAGAGAGGTCATTTTTCAATTAATTTGGATGATGATCCTAAGACATTTACTGAAGCCATGACGTCTCGGGATGCTCCTCTGTGGAAGGAAGCAATCAATGACGAAATGGATTCAATTATGGGTAATGGAACTTGGGAGTTAGCTGATCTACCCAAGGGGAGAAGACCCATAGGATCCAAATGGATATTCAAGAAGAAATATCATCCTGATGGATCCATATCTGCTTATAAAGCAAGGTTGGTTGCAAAGGGCTATAGGCAGCGAGAAGGGATCGATTATTTTGATACCTATGCCCCAGTTGCTAGAATTAGTTCAATTAGACTCTCATAGCAATATCAGCTTTGAAGGGATTGTATATTCATCAAATGGATGTGAAGACAGCCTTTCTGAATGGTTATCTCAAAGAGGAGATTTACCTGGAGCAACCTGAAGGTTTCGTAATACCTGGACAAGAAAACAAAGTATGTAGACTTGTTAAGTCTTTGTACGGGTTGAAACAAGCTCCTAAACAGTGGCATGAGAGATTTGACACCACTGTGACTGCCTTTGGTTTTCAGCACAATAGTGCTGACAGATGTATTTACTCAAAACATACATCTGATTACATAGTAGTTATATGTCTTTATGTTGATGATATGTTGATCATTGGCACTCACCTAGAAGGTATTCTTGAGACGAAGAAATACCTATCCTCGAACTTTAAGATGAAAGATCTTGGAGAAGTAGATACTATTCTTGGTATCAAGGTGAAGAGGACGGGTGGTCAGATTTCTCTGAGTCAATCTCATTACATAGAGAAAATTCTGACAAAGTTTCAACATTTGAACATTAAGGAATTTAACACTCCTTTTGATTCAAGTGTGAAACTTAAGGTGAATTCTGGTCGAGCTGTGGCCCAACTAGAATATGCTAGTGCAGTTGGGAGCATGATGTATGCTACTCACTGCACGCGACCTGACATCGCATTCGCTGTAAGCAAGTTGAGTCAGTATACAGTTAATCCAGGGACGGAGCACTGGAAAGCAGTGGGTAGAGTACTAGGATACCTGAAAAGGACAAGTACTTTTGAATTGACATATTCGTCATCTAATGGAATACTTGAAGGTTATTCTGATGCCAGCTGGATTGATCACACTAGTGATTCAAAGTCCACAAGTGGTTGGATTTATACTCTAGCTGGTGGTGCTATTTCTTGGGCGAGCAAGAAACAGACATGCATAGCTCATTCAACGATGGAAGCTGAGCTAATTGCCTTAGCAGCAGCAGGCAAAGAGGCAGAGTGGATTCGAGATCTACTTATGGATATACGTTTGTGGGATATTCCGATGCCTTCAATACCCATGTACTGTGACAGTGAGGCCACACTGTCTAAAGTATATAATGCGGTATATAATGGGAAGTCAAGACATGTAGGTCTGCGTCACAATTTTGTGAGACAACTAATTGAAAGTGGTACCATCAAGGTTGTCTATGTCAAGACAAGTAGGAACTTGGCAGATCCGTTCACCAAACCTCTGACGAGAGATTTGGTTACATCTACCACGAGAGTCATGGGTCTAAAACCACAATAGAATCGTTTAGTGATGGAAACCCAACTTGACATTAGTGCTCCTAATTTTCAAGTTTAAAGGGTAACAACGAAATCACTAACGATAGAAGGTACTATCATTCATGATAGATCCATGTGAGGTAGGATAGTGCGTCGTTGCCGAGAATGAGGTTGAGTTACGACTCTTAACGTAGTTTTGGAGACATCTAAGCAACGAAGATGTTGTAAAACTATGCCTATATGATCTAGAGGTGGTGCCGCCTCAAGTGAAGATTAGTGGTTTATCTTCTAAAGGGTCATGAAAAGGATTTATAGCGCATGGCCATAATAGCGCTCAGGGAGAACACAAATATGACTTGTGGTGTGTGGGGGTAAACCGGAGAGGTCATTAAGGTTCATGGTTTAAACCTATAAGGATACCATTGAATCGGTCTCTTCTTGTTTGTTCTCATTAAACTAGGGTTTAATCTTCGTGACACCCGAGTGACATCATCTGTCTGAGTGAAAGGAAACTTACCAACTTGGTGGGGGATTGTTGGAACTTTATATATATAAAGGATTTGCAAGTTGGCAATTTCCTTTGTATCCCACATTGGTGGGGAGAAGAAACTTTTGGGGTTTATAAGCCTATTCCCTTGGTAAGCCTTCAAAGGCTTTAGTGGATCAAAGGAATGGGCCAAGCCCACGCGCGCGCCTAGCCTAGCCTAGCACTAGCCGACGCCGCGAGTGCGCGAAATGGCGCGATTTAGGCGCACTTTGCACTTCGCACGACGCATTGGTCGCTGGGAGCTGAGGAGCTTTTGTTTTTGGTAAGTTCGGGTCAAGCCGATTTGACCGACCCGGTCAAATGGTTGACTGGCGTTGACTTCGTAATGGATAAGTCATCGGGGCATTCTAGAAGGATAAGGAAACGGCTTGCTTGGAGAGCAAGCTGTCGCCTTAGGGTTTCTGGGGCCGGCCTATGGGGGCCCGGTTTATGCCTTCTAGGGTTTCGATACCTATAAATATAGCTCTCTAGGAGCCATTCAGAACACACACGAATTCTCAAAGCTCTCTCCCTCTCTCTGTGGTTTTTTCTTCTAGTTTCCGAGTAGTCGCTTTGTGTTTGTCGATTTCCAGTGCTGTTGGAATATCGATCTAGCTGCATTAAATCCTGGGGTTTTACTCTGTTGCTTACAGCCAATACAAGCGAAGTAAAAGCCTTTAAGGACAGGAATCTGATCCGTGCAGTTGCTTCAAGATCAAGTCAGCTATCAACAGGTCGGTTTTATTTTTCTGTCTTGTGTTTCATTCGTCCAATAACAGGACAGTCTTCTTCTACCTTTCTTATAATCGGATCTAATCGAGAAGGATAGATCTGGTTTTGGACGAAACTCGGTAATATAATAATAATAATTGAATTTATTATTCGCAACTAATCGACATATAATTCACAATATTATTTGTCGGTTTCCTTGCGTGTCTTTTGATTTACAACAATCCATTGATGAACCCACGTTGTCAATTATGTTTCATTGGAGTTTATAACTTATCTAGGGATTGTCCTTGATGTATTTTCATGGGAATTTCCAAAGTTGAATGATAACCAACAAACCCTAATTAATCACATAAATTGATAAAAGATGTTGAATGGTAAGGATGTATATAAACATCACCATTGTTGGTGATGATTATGAGTATGGAAAGGAATGATATCTTGAAGGCTTTTAGACCATAATTATCAAAATCGTGATCCTGATCCTACGATTTTAGATATGAAAAACGATCCAGATCGTATCGTATTTGGGGTAGGATCGATATCTGATCCGATCCTACCTTCCCTTGATTTTTTTTTTTTTTTTTTTTTTTTTTTGCAAATGATTTTTTTTTACTATTTTATGTCTTTTACTTTTTACCAATCTACCATTTATCATTTTTTATTGTAACTTATGACTAATATTTTGAAGTTTAAAACTTTTGAACAAAAAATTAAATGTTTGAAATATTTTTCATGATTAAATATTATAAATTAAAATTATATTTTATTTTGTGGGGATCTTAGGATTTCGATCCCGATCTTGCAAACCCAAAAACAATCCTAAGTAGGATTCCGATCTTGACAATCTTGTTTTAAACCATGAAGTGGGTTAAGGAGTAAATATTAATACCTATGTTTACTTATAGGTGAATAGTAGGCGCACAAGTCATGTGCTATTTACCACAACTAGAGGTGAGTACATGTCCATATTTTCTTTATGATTTTTAAATGATGTTGTGTTCCTTATGTATTACATGTAATACATTGTGTTCCTTATGTGCTACATGTAATACTATATGTATTCCCTTTGCATTGCATGAAAAGAATATATATTTTTAAAAGATGTGTTATGATAAAAAGGGACAACTATAATTTCTTTTGCCCCTGATTTTCACTTATAAACTTGTGTGCATCATTAACGACGATCACAAGAACCAATAATGAAAAATGATGTTGTGTCGGTGTTCTAGATATCCTCCATTTGTATATGAGGCTAGTTACCTTGTATGTGGATCGACCGAGCACATTATCCTAGTTATAACGGTCTATTTATGTGATGTTTGGCAACATGCCTTCGTTACGAGTGATGTTTGACAAATGTGACATCAATGCTTGGACAAATTCTCCTTTCAATGACCTGCATGTGAGGTTGGACTTGAGATAACTAGGGTTGAGAATTAGAAGCATAAGCATTGCACTTATTATATGATGTGTCAGTGTTTTAATGATGTTTTACAAATGAAAAATAATGATTCCCTCTTCATGACGAATGACAATTTCTCTTTAATGACGAATGCCAAATACCCTTAACTGACAAATGATGACATATGACGAACCACCAATGATGAGTATGACGTTGTGCAAAATTCTACTTTTTCTCATGTTTTTACCTATTATGATAATAATATCTATATGACGATTTCTAAATATGTTGGGGTATTCATCTATATATCTAAATGACATCTTCAACTTTAAAGATGTTGACCTCGTTATTACTTTATAGAAATTTTTAAGCTTGAGTTATGTATTTTGATATGTATTCACGATGATTTGAGGATGATACTTGGACATTTAGAATGTCGTGTAGTGGTTTGCTTTTAAATTTATGTTTGGCTTTTAGATTGTTACATACTCTTGTATCTTTAAAAAGTTTACTTTAAACTTTGACGTTCATAACGTTGGGACCTATTTGCCATAACCATGGTTTTGATTATTAAAAAAATGATTTTAAGTTAGTTAAAACATTGGACTTACAGGTGTTTTAATATATAATTAATTAATTTTAAAATAACTTATTTGGACATTTTTTTTATAAAAATTGTGACCACCTTATTCACATAATCAATAATTTTTTTTTATCAAAACAAACATGCTATTTTTGTCGATTTATGTTATTGATGACTATTATTAGTTTTAACTAATTAGAAACTTCTTGTTGAAGCAATTTTATTATTATTAAAAGATGTTTTTTTTTTATTTTTTTATTTTTTTAGGATCTATTTAAAACAAGATTTATACTTGGATACTAGGATCTTAAGATCTTAATCTAATCCGATCATAACTCTTTAATGTTTATTATATAGACGAACCTCAAAAATTCGTCCATACAACTTGAAATCGAGCATTACATATCGATAAAGGTAAAAAGTTTCATTGAGTATTATCGCTTCATCCATTATGTCTATTCATCTTAAATTATGCAAAACATTACACCCATGCTATTCTTTATATGATCTTATCTGGTTGTATGAATCAAAACTATCCTGATTCTTTTTATGCTTTTGATATTTCTTCCTAGTTTTTGCAATTTGTAGCAACAACAATTATGTTTAATGGCTAGTGTCTTTTGAACTTTGGGGTAGCAACAACAATTATGTTAAATGCTTTAACATGAAATTTCAATCTTAACAACTTTGGGGTAGCAACCATCTTGCTCCCTTTTTTTTAGCTGGTAAAGTGGTAATGCTAATTTCTTCCCAGAGGACTCACAATACCCACAAATCCAATCTCAAAGCCGATTTCAAAATGGTGGACCGATGGATGTAGGAGTCAGTTATTTGAAATTAAAATATATTAAAAAAAAAAAAAAAAAAAAAAAAACCATAAGTAGAATTGGTTCTTGCTTAACAAAAATACAGTGATTATCAGTATCACTCGTATATGAAATTACGTTATTGCCCTCTAGAACCTTCTATAGCCCAAATCCCTAAATCTAATCAGTAACCTCACACTCTCCTCTCCCCTTGGCTTGGCTCCCCGATTCGGTTCTTTTCTTCTTCGCACATCGTCGCTGTCCGGCCGTCGCGTCGACTGCTGCCTCTCTTCCGGTCATCCTTCTCATTGACTCTGTGCAGGTACTATCCTCGATCCTCCCTAAATCTCTTCCTCTGTTCCTCCTTCTCCACTCTTCTGTCAACTTAGCCGATCATTATTTTGTTTCAGAACTTCTAAATCTTCCAGTGGATTTTGTTTCAGAGCTAAAATTATTGTTCATTACGCATTACAGAACATCCCTGTATCACACTCTCATACACATTTAACACAGATACACCTGTACTGCTCTTTTAAAAGGATTTTGTCAACCAAATGGTTAAATGTCATATGATTTTATGTAGAAAATAAGCATACATTGTATGATGAGTTTGTCGATAAAAATTAGAGACGAAAACTACATTCTGTTGTATTCTACTGATGATCGAATAATGATGATAACTTGGTGATGAAAACTACAAATGGCTTTATTTCAGTTTTTGTTTCGAAACCAAGTATGATGATTATTTGACAATGGCTTTTCTGTTTCTGTTTGAATATTATGTTTTTCGTGCTAATTTGGTTTCATTTGGAGTTTGTGCTATAAGTTATTGTAATATTGTGATGGACATAGTTACCATTATTTATGCTCCAGTAAAAACCTGTATATGTTGAAATGTGTAGCAAAAATGGATGACGAGATGGTTACACTGCATAATGTAATGCCTGTGGATCTTGCTCTAAAAAGAGAAATGGAATATCGACATAAAATGGAGGCCTTGAAAAACCAGCAACTCAATAACTTAAATCCTTTGCTACCTTCTCAATCCCAAGTCACATCTAATCCTTTGCCACCTTCCCAAGTGAGATCTTATAAGCCTAATTTTTTTCATTTTTTTTTCATCGATTGACATTTACATACAAGTACAAATATACATATAGGTTCATCCCACAAGTCAAACAATCTTAAAGAGAAAAGAGCCATCTACAAGTGGCATAAAACCGAAAAAACCAACAGTCAGACTTGTTTGCAAGATTTGTGAGATAACATTTTGTACAGTTGTTCAATTGAAGGATCATGCGAATAGTGGGAGACACAAAAACAATATACAACAATTGCAGAAAAGAGGGGAAAATGTTGCCACTCCTTTTTTATGTGAGATTTGTCATGCATCTTGCTCCAGTGGTATTGTAATGGCAGCTCATCTTAAGGGTACAAAGCATGCTGCTGTTCTTAAGGAGGTTGAGAAAGCTAAAAGGGCTAGACCCAAAGAGGGATTTGGTCCAAGAAGGTATTGAATGTTTGGTGTATTGAACAAGAGTAGAGTGGTTTCTAACTTTCTATCTATAGTATATTTTTAGTTATGATGTTTAGAAAAATGAAGGTGAATAGTGATAGGGTGGTATTGAATGTGTATAACTTTTTTGAATCGTAATTAAAGAATATGACTATATGAGAGGGAGATGACTTTGATCTTGGATGGATATGTAATGGTTAACCTTAGTAACATAATTTTTTACACTAAAAGAGATTCTTTATTAATCATTTTTTAATTAAGTTTATTTTTTATTTAGATTATTGTTTTTTAATTTATAATAGTTTTATTTCAACAATATATTAGCCTTTCTTAAAATGTGATGTGTTTATATTATACGGGTTTGATAAAACAAAAAATTAAATATGAAAGTTTAAACAAAAATTATTTAAATTTGAAATTTTAGATTTAAAATTTAAAATTTGAAATTTGAATTTAAAAGGAAACATATTAAATAATATATGAATATTAATATTGTAATTTATGGGTTATTTTAATTAAGAAAATTATTAATTGAGGTCTAAATATGATTATTAAATAAGAAAATATATATATATATATATATAAAGAGAAAATGACAAATGGAAAAAACATTTAATCAAAAATATCAAAAAATGATATGTATCCAAGTTAATGAGAGAGTGATATGTAGCAAATTTATTTTCATATATTAGGGAGAATATATATATATATATATATATTTGAATTTTAAGAGGAATAAGATAGAAACATTTTTGTACAAACCAATTATACATAAAAAGGTATTAATACTTGCCAAAAGTTAGAAAGTTTGAATTAAGGAAGGTTATTAAGAAATTTAACTTAGGAGCAAATTGACAATTTTAAAATATAAATACAAGGTTTAAACATAAATATTTTTTTTAGAAGTGGTAATATTTTATTACATAATAACTAATAATAATATCTAATAATTATTCTCCCGTAAAAAAACTATTCGCCGAAAAAACTATTTATCATTGCCGCTTTGAGCGGGCATACGCCGTGTGTGTGTGTGTGTGTGTGTCTATATATATATATATATATATATATATATATATATATATATATATATATATATATATATATATATATATATATATATATATATATATATATATATATATATATATATATGGGAAAAAGGAATATACATTACAGCCCCACCTAAGCTTAGGTACTCAACCTCACGATTAATATTTCAAGATTTAAATTCAAGATTGACACAGTAAGGTTTAGGGTTTAGGGTTTAGGTTTAGGGTTTAGGGTTTAGATTTAGGATTTAGGGTTTAGGGTTTAGATTTTAGGTTTAGGGTTTAGGTTTAGCATTTAGGGGTTTACGGTTTAGCTTTAAGGTTTACTAATGCTCACTTGGGTGAAGTAAGAAAGAATAATTTAAGAAAGAAAATAGAGATGTTAAAACGATAATGAAAGAAAGAAATGTTATGGAGGATGATATATTTACCAAGTGAAACCAAACCAGGTATATTTAGCATGATAAAATGACATATTTTAGAGGTTTAGTATCTAAGCTTAGGTGGGGCTGTAATGTATATTCCCTATCCCCTATATATATATATATATATATATATATATATATATATATATATATATATATATATATATATATATATATATATATATATAGGGAAAAATGAATATACCCTTAATGGTATATAAGCTTAGGTACCCAAACTCACTATACTACGTTGTTTTGTATCATATATATAAATTGTAATTGTCCAATATTCTTATAATTCAACTTCTAACATGATTTACTTCCAAAATTTTCATAAATTTCACATTTATCTTCTTCTACATAATTTTCATTTTCAACTATAGTATATATAGCCTAGAAGGTGTTCGGCAAAAAGATGTGATTTAAAAGAAAGATAATAGTGAAATTTTGAAAATCTTGAAATCAAATCAAGATAGGATTAATGTTTAAGAACTTTATAATGAAAGGATTTTCTAATATGTGCCTGATGACAGATATAAGAAGTATTAATTAATCACAATTATTACCATAATTAAATGTTAAACACATTAATTATAAGAAATATTAACATAATTAAATATAAAATTCATTAATAATCTCTATAATTAATTCATTTCATATTTAATTATGGTAATAATTATGATTAATTAATACTTCTTATATGTACCCTTAGGGCCCATATTAGAAAATCCCTAAAATGAATATATCAAACAAAATGATGTATTACGGTGGGTTTGGGTACCTAAGCTTATATACCCTTAAGGGTATATTCACTTTTCCCATATATATATATATATATATATATATATATATATATATATATATATATATATATATATATATATACACTAGTAGTGTACCTGTGCGATGCAGCGTCGGCGAATACTCTTTTACATTGAACAGTTCCGAGCAGCGATTCATTTTCTATTGGCGAGTATTTGAATATATGTTTTCTCTACCTCTGGTTAATATTCAAGAGACGATTAGTTTTCCTTTCCACGTGCGTCAAATGTTTTCATTTGGTGAATACTTTGTTTTCAGTGATGATCTTATTTCCTTAGTTTTAATATGAAAGTTATCTATGAAATGCATCATATGAAAGTGTTATTGGCTTATGTTAGTTTGTATACTATTTCTTTTATTAGTTTTAAGATAACAATAATACTGTTAGATATTATATATAAGTTTTCGGTTATTTGAAACTAATGTATTTACATTTTGGTTATCTGGTGGAGGATTAAGTTAGAGACCAAAGGCGCAATGAAATCGAATTGTAATGACTTTTCAAGTTAAAAACATAATTTAAAGACCAAACACGCAAAATAACACATACTACAAGGACCATCGTGTAATTTACTCTTTATTTTATTATTTGTCTATTCTTATCTTTTTTCCTGATCTTAAAAAAAAATGTTGTACTTCGCTTTAAGTTACTATTGTCTATCCCATATTCCTGTAGAGATCGCAAGAAGTTTTTAAAATTCTCTATATGTTCATAAATTTATTGAAAAAAGCTTATAAAAACATCTATGACTTAAGTAGATTTTAAAGAAAAACTTAATGTCAACATTTACATTGTTTCTGTTATAACTATAGTCATTAGAAACACCCAAATTACGTATGTTTACAAAAACCACTTTTAATATACGTGAAAATGTCTATTTTTAATATATTTCTACATTGATAGTATAATTATGATATTTATAAAAATACATCATAAATATTGTATTATATTTTTTAGAAAATATATTTTTTATTATATTTCTAAGTCAACTACAAATAATATTTCTAGTCTTTTGGATTTATATGTTAGCATAAAAGTTCAAAAACTATCATCCATAAAATACTTACAAATAAACGATTAACTTATATTAAAAAATATTATGTTAAAAGCTCATCATCTATTTAGATTTTTAGAGATGAAATAAAGTTTAAATAGTTTAAGAAATGAATTACACTTTTTTTTTTTAAATTTTAATTAATTTAGAACCAATATATATATATATATATATATATATACTCTTGTGAGGCGGGTTTGGTGGCCTCCCATCACCATGTGTATTATAAGAAAGACAAAATTGCAAGAATGGTCCCTGTGGTATATCGAAAATTACCACTTTGGGCCAAACAGGTTTGGACTAGCACTAATGGTCTAGAACGTTTCATTTTGTTGCGAGTTGGTCCATTTTTGTTTGATTTTTTATAAAATGACGATTTTACCCCCATTATATTTATTTTTTGCTTTTCTTTTTTTATTTAATTGTTTTCCTAACTAAAAAATAAAAATAAAATAAAAGAAGAGAATCTCTCTCTCACTCTCTCTCTCTCTCTCACGCCCTCCCCTCTCTTTCTCTTTCTCTCTCTCTCTCTCTCTCTCTCTCTCTCTCTCTCTCTCTCTCCAGCTAAGAGAACGTCACCACCCTCACTTTTTCCCCCAAGCTTCACTCTCACCGGAAGATTGGACACCACCGGCATAAAAGATGAACGCCACGAGATCGAAGCTATGACATCGATCCCTAACCCTAAAAGTTTCAGGATGCGACACACATATCGAAGCTAGGGATTATAATGGCGACAACCTATGAATACCCTAGGGTTTCAAAATAACGAGAATGGTGGTAGCCTCTGAAAACCTCAGTGTCTCATTATTTCCTTCTTCAAACTCGATAGAAGCTTACCTGAGGGTCGTTTGATGGAGCTAGGAGTGTTGAGAAACAGTGGGGACAGTTTGAAACGGTGGTATGGCTTGAGTTTTGTAAACATATCTGAAACCATTGTTTGCAAACCCTCGTTACCCATGAACTCCGGCGGTGCTAGGCTTGTGTTCTGTTCATCTTGTCGGTTCTCAAGAGGCAGCGGTTCTGTTCTATGAGAGAGAAGAATAAGAACAATGGCGTTTCAGATCCGTGTGAGAGAGAGAGAGAGAATCGATTTTTGGGTTTTGTGTGTCTGTGTTGAATCTGTTAAAAAATCGATGAATGTGTGTGTTGATTTGTTTATGTTTTCTTCAGATTTCATGTGTTTGTGTGTTCATCTGATTTCGTGTATTTTTGTTCATCTGTGGGTGGTGGCGAACGGTGGTGGTGGCAAACTTTGGTGGTGGTTGCCAGAAAATCCGGTTGGTGTTGGTGGTTACCGAAAAATCCGACTGGTGTTGGTGGTTGCCGGAAAATCCCTTGTTCTTTGAACTGATATGAGGGAGGTGGTAGAAGGGGAAGAAGTTGTAGAGAGAGAGAGAGAGAGAGAGAGAGAGATTTTATTTTATTTTATTTTTTTAATTTTTTTAGTTAGAAAATAATTAAATAACAAAAAGAAAAAGCAAAAAAGAAATGGAAAGGGGCAAATCCGTCATTTTTAGATTTTTTAAACTGATTTGGACCAAAACCGCAGCAAAATGAAAACTTTTGGACTATTAGTGCTAGTCTAAACCTGTTTGGCCCAAAGTAGCAATTTTAGATATACCACAAGGACCATTCTTGCAATTTTGT